AAGGGGAGAATCCTTCTTGTTACTTGTAACAATTTCCTTAAATCTTACCTTCCATTTAGGCCTAACCCTATGCTATTAGTACTGTTTTCCCTCTAGTATTGAGGTAGGAAGAGGGTAGTAGAAAGAAAGTACTCTTCGCTTAAGCCAAATAAGCGCAACGAGGAAGTGCCAAGCAATTGGCACTAAAGCTTGTATCGTTTAGTGATAGAGATCACCCACGACATCCAGGTCCACCTTGTGGAAGATTCAGGGTCAACCCAGTTATACGTACGACCCTTAATAATTGACTCGTTTCCAACGTATAGTTCTGCGCGCCAGTCGCTGGACTAGTTCGCGCCGGTACATATCACGCGGAATAAAACTTACGTAGTAGTAGCGCTGGCATTTCACCACAGGTGGTGGTGGTGGCAAAGCCAGCGGTTTTGCGCTTCGTGGTTCTGCAACGCCTTCCCAGTACGGAGTATTGCTCCGCTGCCAGTATGGCAATTCGGTCCTTTTTAAAGCGCCAGACATGTTCTATCGCTTCTGGATCTGGGTTATGCGATAACATGCCGCGTTCACTAGGCTCGTTCTAGGGTAGCGCTTAACCAATCTCTCGACACCTTCAACTCCGCACTTGAATAACAGGTTCATTCTACGGCCCGACCGGATGATTGTTATCTCTTACCATGCTCATATCAACCCATGCCGCTATGCGCTATCGTATCAATTCACGCGTCGATAACGTGCTTGATAGAGCATCCAAAAAGGCTATATAGGACCTTGGAGGTTTTCCAAGTGGTACGCTGCACATAACGATATATTACACTCGCCTGCAATGGCTGCCAATCCTATGGGCGATGCGCTTATCCTCAACGCACCCGGTGTTGAGGGCAAAGCAACCGTTGTCCCGAGCCACGAGGTAATCGATTCTTTCAACGACGAGAAGCATCACCTGTCTGTCAGCGATGAAGGGCTCGAAAAAAAAGGTGCGCTGGAGCCAGAAATCAAGGCTGCATCGCCTCCCCAGGACAGCAATGAGGAGGAGGATGATAGTCACATCATCATCACCGGAGCCGACGCCGCTGCCCATTTGCTGCCAATGCGAGATGACTTCGAGCCCGCTTTAACATTTCGGAGCATCTTCCTGGCCACCATCCTGTCAGCATTTCAAGCTGTTGTGTACCAGATCTATCAGGTATGCTCACGCCCCTAAACATCGGTGATCCGTAATTCCTGATCTTTCGCGCAGTTCAAGCCAACTTTAGTCACTATCCAAGGAACTTTCATCGTCTTAATGGCCTATTTCCTGGGCAAGGCGTGGGCTAAATTTCTTCCCCGAGGAGATAGGCTTGAAGCTAAATGGAGAGCGGAAGGTGGCGTTGGACTGGCACCCCTGTACATCCGGATCACATCCTTCTTTAACCATGGCGATTGGAATATCAAGGAACATGGCATCACATCAATCACGGCTACCTCGGCGTCCATTGCTGCACCTAGCAGTCAGGTCTTCGCTGCCCAGGAAATATTTTATTCACTACCACTCAGTCCCGTCACTGTCATTTGCAGCACCATTTCGATCGGACTCTTCGGGTATGGTATCTGCGGGTTTATGCGACCTATTTGTGTGTGGCACGTTGATTCGGTGTACTGGAGTAGTCTACCAACAGTCAAGGTACTTCAAGGTCTACACTGGCAATCGGTTAAAAACTCTAAGCCTTTGCGCTGGTTCTGGATCGCTTTCTCGTGCATGTTTGTCTATGAGTTCTTCCCAGCGTACATATTCCCTTGGTTGAACTCGGTCTCAATTCCCTGCTTGGCTGCCATGCATGCAACAGGCTCCAAGGCCGCCATTCTTACCAACATTTTTGGTGGCGCGTCCAATAATGAAGGCCTGGGACTCTTCACCTTGTCGTTCGACTGGCAATATGTAAGACAATGACCATAAATACAGAAATAGGTTCAGTCTAACGTCCTCGATAGATCACATCCTTCCAGTCAGCCCTCCCGCTCAAACTACAGCTGCATCAAGCTGCAGGTTTTGGTGTTTGCATGGTCGTCATGCTTGCAGTCTACTATGGCAACGCCTGGAACTCAAGATCACTGCCCTTCATGTCCACACGGCTCTTGACACAGGACGGCAAGGCTTATCCTACCACAAAAGTCTTCGTCGATGGCGTGCTCGACAAGAGCGCGTTGGCCACCTACGGCACCCCCAGACTCACCGGCACCTTTGCCTATGCCATGTTCATGGCAAACGCTGCGGTAGGTAACCTACTATTGACGAGTAGGCTTATTAGCTGATTCACTATAGATTGGTGCTCTTATCGCTCACATTATTCTCTTCTGGGGTGGCGATATAGCCAGGGCCTTCAAGTCAGCCAAAACAGGCAAGTTTGGTGACCCTCACCACGCGCACATGGCCAGGCACTACCGGGAGGTACCTTGGTGGTGGTATATGATTGTTCTTCTCGTGAGTTTTATACTTGGCCTGATAGTCGTCATCAAGGAGAACATCACCCTGCCTGTATGGGCTTACATTGTAGCTCTCCTCCTAGGAACTTTTATTTCGCCCTTTGTGAGTCAACGTCCGCTTTCGCGATAACAGTAGACATCGACTAACTTCAATGCAGAGTACAACACTGTACGCGCGATTCGGTAACGGTATTGCGACCAACAATCTCTCCAAGGTGATTGCGGGTCTCATGTTGCCTGGACATCCTATCGGTAACATGTACTTTGCTGCGTGGTCCCACAACGTAATCAATAGCGCAGTGCAGCTAAGCATGGATCTCAAGCTTGGAGAATATCGTAAGTACCCCTTATACGCTCATCGGGAACCCAAAACTAATTCCTAACAGTCAAAATACCTCCACGTGTCATGTTCTTGACGCAAATCTACGGCACTCTTCTTGGCGGCTTCATCAACTATGCCATCATGATCTCGATCGTTACTGGGAACCAGAACGTCCTTGCTGATACCAACGGCAACTCTTCATGGAGTGGTGCGACGATTCAATCGTACAACACCAATGCTACTACTTGGGCGCTGGCAGCCTATCTCTACAAACAGGGAGCTATATATTCGATAGTTCCTTTCGGTCTTCTTATCGGTGCCGGAATTGTCGCGGCCCACCGGATCTTCGCACAGGTACGTGTACATAAATCTTGATTGTGTTACTTTTTTTGATTACTGACTTCATTGCAGTTCGTTCCTAAAATTGGAAAATTCTCTGTTAACGAGATCAACTTCCCGCAATTCATCCAGTATGCGGGCTATATTCCGTATAACCAATCGCAAACGTGCATCTTGCTTAGCTGGGTTATTGTTGGGTTCTATACACAGTTCTACCTCCGCAACTATCGACCCCGTATCTTCAAGGACTACTCGTATCTCATCGCTGGTGCCTTCGACGGTGCAAGTCTCACGTGCTTGTTCATTCTTTCGTTTGCTGTCTTTGGCGCGGGAGGACCAGCAGTCCCTATGCCTGCTTGGTGGGGCAACAACGTCTCTGGAAACTATGACCACTGTCCCGTCGCAGAGTAGAGGTATTAGTTACTATATATGTATCTAGTTACCTCTAGCTAGAGACATCAGGCTCTATGTTCTAAATAGCCTATAAATCTACGATTTTCTTCTAACTATACTTTAGTTTATAGTTAAGTGTATATGGAAAGCTTACGTATCACTTCATAAAGTGGGGAAGAATATACAACTCTGTTTATCTATGCAATTTACATCTTACATTGTTAATCATTTACAACCATTCAGTAAAGCAGTAAAATACAATAAGCAATAGTGATAGAGTAGAGTGGAAAGTAAGATTTACTCTAGATCTAAACATCTAAACTCTAAACAAGCACATTATATAGTAGTGTTAGGGTTAATGTAGTTGGTACGTTGGTATTTCGTGTTCAGAATCGTTAGAAGACTGTTTCAATTAAAGGCCCAGTCTGGTGTGTGATGTACATTGAACAAAGGAAAGAAGCTAATGACAACTAAAAATCACCCATCTTCAATTCTTCAAAACGTCTTACAGCATGACAGCCATGCCCTGAGCATTCTTTCCCGCGCCCATCCGTCCTAAATCGAAATGCTGTATCTGCTTCATTGACCCCTTTCCTCCAGATACGTCCAGTACTGTGATGGCTGCATTCGTTGTTCCATTGCCCGGACTGAGCGCGTAAACAAAATCACCTGCAGCGCGGAGATCGATAAGGCCTGGGTCGCCGTTTGCGGACAGATCGAGCTCCTTGATGATACTCGCATTGTCGAGGCTCATCTCTACAACACGATTTACTCCAACATCAGTCACATATGCGCTGTTTGTCGAGTCGGAGACGGTAGCCCAGCAGGTTGCTTTCTGGCCTTCAATTGTACCTGCGCCTTGGACAGTTGCCTGACCGGCTGAATCCACCTTCAAGACGGCCGCACCGAATGATGCATCAGTGACAAAAAGCGACGAGGGGTCTTTGGGCATGATCGCAGAGCCGAATAGCACAGCCGTGCCATTGGGCGAGCTCTGCATACCTTTTGTTGAAACTTTATTTGCGCCACCTTGACCGATCTCGACGGGAAATGTTGAAAGAAAGCCAGTATTGTTCACTGTGGGGTCACCCTTGACGGTAGTGAACAGCGTTTTCTCGTTTGCTGAAAAGAAGGCCTGTGACACAGTGTTCAGTGGTCCTACAGGTGGGGTTGTTTGCCCAAGGTCAAAAGGCCGCAGACCGTCCATTTGGGCCATGCCTTTGCTGGAAAAGCTCGCGCAAGAGATGCCGGCTACTGCGCCCGAGGTTCCAACACAAGCGATCTTATTCTTTGCTGATGCAGCGACAGTGTTGGGGAACTCGCCCGGGACCTTGATTGGCTTTCCCACGCAAGTTAACGCTGTAGGGTCTTGATTTGAGATGGCCATCATGGTAAGTGTGTTGGAGCCTGCATTGACGGCGAAGAGGTTCTAGGAAATGTACATGTCAGCTTCTTGTATGTTTTTCCAAGACATGCCAGTCTAAGACCAGTGAGTAAACTTACATTGCCAGCTACTGCCAATGAAGACTGCGATACCAGTGCGTCGGGCGTCTCTGGTTTCCCTTCTGCGTTCACAGCAACTGATCCCCTGCCGCCTGTCTTTGCCATTTTACCCGCAGATAGCTTGCCGTCGGCTCCAATGGGCAGTGCAATGACCGCGTTTTCAGCCTCGTTGGTGATGAGGTAGACTGCCTTTCCGACCTTCACAGCCTTGTTGGATCCTTGAGGTGTGCAGCTCATCCCATCCTGTTGCTTTGCTTGCTTCATACCAGGACCATGTTGTTGATGCGGAGCCGCCACTGCCAGCAGGGGGAGCAAAGAAAGAAGAGCGGCAGTATACATAATTCCCACTTTTGGAGGGTTTATGAAATGAACGAAAAAAATACCGCAGGATCAAGTATCGAATTTGAAAGAATATTAAGAAGAAGATATCGATGATGTGAAGACCCAAGGTTGCAAGTGTCGAACAAATGTCAGCTTCCCGCGACTCTTTATACGCAACTGCCTCCTGCTTCTACAAGTCACTGCACATCTGATCTACTCGGCGTTGCCCACCAGTTCTCTCTCCGATGACTCTATCAACATTTCCTGAACCGGTATAGCGCCCGCCTCGTAAGTAAAAGAGATTTGTGCTTGGCGCAGATTGCACACATTCCGGGCGTCAAAATAAGGCGACCAGCCTATCCTGAGGCTGCGGCTATGTCTCAAAAGTGCTGGGGGCTTCGCGCGAGCGGCGATCGGGTACACGGCTAAGTGTGAAACAGATTGCCTGTATCAAGGCACGAGGCAAAGACATGTCGCGTCGAACCTTGCCCAAAAAGGCAATTTGATTCTCGAAGCATAATGACCTGTTACGGTTAGGCGTGGAACGAGCCCTTTGCGTTCAGTCTCTCCCTGCACCTTGTCCTCATGATTCCCCTCTTGGCGCATCCTTCGACTCGACCTGAGCGAAAAAAACACAAAAGAAACATACTACAGCGGGGATTCGCCAATAGTCACCACCTAACTACTGATCCGCCGGTAAACTACTCAAGTACAATTCATCGAACGGAGGATTCCGCTGTCTGGATGCCACATTCAAAAGTTCCCATGATGCAAGTGACTTGGGCGGGAACCATGGAGGCCTGGTCTCAAACCGGGCCGGTGGGCAGTTGGGGTTTCCGGGGACGTGCCCGCGCCCACATATGTGTGAACCCACCCCCAATTTGACGGTCGCATTCACAGCCTTTGAGCCGTCTCCCGACCAACCGCATTTCGTAGCAAGGAGTCTAGGATTTGTAGATTGATCGCAGGAACAGATTTGTGCTCCGCATGGCATTGATGACTGTGGGAAAGCGGTAATGCTACTTATTAGGTCATGGTGCCTGCTACTAGCTCAGCCCGTGTCAAACATTGTTCGCCCAAGTGAGCACAACTAGACACATACTCAACCACGTCTATATCGAGAGATCGCCGCATTAGTCGCAACAGCACGTGGTGGATAGGCTCCTTACGCGCTTTCCCGTCTTGATCTTGCTTTCTTCTTCTTGACAGGTGGCTGGTAGCACAGATATTGACAGATGAGGAAATTCACATTTAAGCCTTTCAAAGGCGACAAGACGTCCTCTGCAGATGGTATGTCGGAGGAGTCCCTTTTCGGATTCTTCGTAGAGAAAGATGATAGGTACTACAAGGCTTAGTTGTCTCACGCGTCAGGCAGATTCAACGGAACCTCGAAACCAAACCCAGAGACGAAGAGAGCAGGTTCGCAAAGCACAAAAGTATGTCACATAGGTTTTTTCACTCTTGTTTCTGCCATCTCACACTGAGGACATGTCTGCTAGTGACAACATCAGGTATAGTATTCTTTCTGCATTTCCTCCGAACCTAACGTAACTATTAGAACCCACCGCGAACGAAAGGAAGCATACGTCGCGTCACTAGAAACCGAGGTCGTACGCCTCCGCGCCAATGAAGCCCGCTTGGAGTCAGAAACCAAAGCGCTGTATGCTGAAAACAATGTGCTGAGAAAACTCTTGACACAACAAGGCATTCCAGTGCCAGCAGAAACTGTACGAGGGCATCTGAATGACATCGCCCATCCAGCTTCCACCAGCCCAGACAATTACTCAACCTCCTTCTCAGATGCAGCAACCGACGACACCATCACACTATCTATAGCGCATGAAGACCCCAGCGCCAAACGAAAAAACCGTAGAAAACAAATCTATATCCAGCATCCACAAGCCTTACCCAGACTCAACCCATCCGCCTCAGCCACCAACTTCCCCCAACCCATCTCACCCCCCTCCTCCGGCTCTCTACCATCGCACCTCGCATCTCCCATCAATCCCACTCCAACACCAGCCGCCAAACTCAGCACTATGGACCCCGAAGCCCTAGGCATGGACTTTGTCCTGACCCTCGAATCCCCCTGCCTCTCCCATATCGACGTCGGCCCGCCCTCCTCCTCACAGCACTCCGATTCACACTCCACAGATTCAGGCACAGCCTTAACAACATCCACCGGCCACGCCCTCACCCTCTCCGCGACACTCCTCCACACACACCCTTCCCCCGCCGGCCAGCGCCTCCACTCGTCTAGCGCCTGGCGCGTCCCCCGCGCCAGCCTCTCCCAACTACTGCAGCTGTCTGCCCAGATTCCGCTACCAGACGACGAAGTGACGCCGATCCAAGCCTGGGAGTTTGTGCGACAACATGAGGGGTTCGGGGGGTTGGATTTTGCTCGCTGGGAGGTGCTAAAGGAGAAATTAGTCGCGGCGGTCAAGTGTCATCAATTTGGGGGTGTGGTGGCGAAGGAGGTACTGGAAAATAGTGTCTTTGAAGCGTTTGTCGTGGGAAGGGTATTTTGAGAAGGGTGTGCGGGTGGGAAGAAGGGAGAATATAGAATGGATCAAATGAGTGAAGAAGGCGTGGAGTTTCTATCATTAAGGATGCATAGTCTATGCAATGTATCATGCTTTGTTCATAGATTTGTATTGTAACTGAACACTACTAGTTACATCTGTTTTAGAGTTTATGAATGCGTTTCGATCTTAGATTTGACAGCCAGTATAGGAAGCAATTTAACGAGACAAGAATTGTATTGCGCATTTTGTGCGTATACGAGCCAATCGCTTTTCATGTACTATACGCAGTCATGTAGCCTTTGCGTAGTTTTGAATGGTTTACAGTCGCCCCGTAACACGTCCGCTGAAACCTTACGTACCTCGTCGCCGCTAATTCTGCTTCTCCATCCCGCTCAACGCACTCTATCCTGTACTTTATCCCTGTTTGGTGTGTGCTGGACCTAGAACTTATTTGCAGTCCCGAGAGACAATGATCAAGTTTGACGCATGATAATATCTTTCCAGTGATAACCTATAAAAACACCTTGATAGATGTCGTAGTTGTCCATCCAATATCAACCAACGACTGGCAAAAAGGTGGACGGAGGGATTCAAGTTGATGAATTTTCCTTGGAAAATTCATTCCAAGAACCAGTCTTAGTATATTTTGTGTTACCCAAGGAGATAGTATGGAGACCTGAGTATCCAATTTCCCACCTGCTAGCACCAGTTTCGTTCATCATTATCTCTTTCTTTTTTTTGGAAAATTTCATCAACTTGATAAAAACCTCTTTGTTCTTTTTCAGCCAGTCATTACAAAGTAGTGTTAGTCAGGAAAATAAGATAAGTAGATTTTAGGTCAAGCTAATTGTCAGTATTAATAACGCTATTTCATCACATCGATATCCTCGCAGTTTCAACGAGTTGATCACTACGCGCACTTCTTCTAGTCCTTGGCTCAATGTCGCTTAAAATGAAATCCTCTACTACTAAACGTTCCCGTTTGTTTGTGTCGGGTATGGTAATCATGACCTAAGCTTCGGCCCAAACAAACGTGCTAAACACCATAAATTGTTTGTTTTGCTTAGTCTCATGGAATAGCGTTTGATCAAAATTGTATAGCTAGTAGATTTTACTCGTACAAGGATTTGCAACTCCAACTGCTTGCCGCATTTACATCCCCTCTTCCATCATATTTAGCCTGCTTTGGATACATGCACAACGGACGCTGCCTCATTATTCCTGTCTGGGTAGTCTCGTTGACATACTTTGTGCCAATGATATAATCCGGCCTCTTGCCCTCCTCGACCCACCTCATCATTGCGAGCATGGCATCATGATCAGCGTCTTTGAAGCCAGGTACACTGTAAACTGTAGGACCTAACATTGAAGCTTGATTGGGCCCTGCAAAATACCACGGTGCATTGACTGTGGGGGATGTAGTTGAGCAATGGCCCATTCCAGGCACGAGGAAGAAGCGGAAGAACTCGTCAACCTCAATCCCACGTGGCTTAAGTTCGCGAACTAACTGACTGTAAAAGTATGTTGATGAACCTGTGGGTATCGAGCCGTCACTCATGCCGTGATATGACAGGATCTTGCCGCCCCTGGCATGGAAAGCTGAGAGATCAAATTTGACATTTGCGTCTCCAGGATTTATGGCGTCGGCAAGTCGCTGGATACCTTCGTTGTAGTTATAAGGCGACCAATCTGCGCCAAAATTCAGAAAGTAGCGGACGTAGTCGGTGCCAAGTGGATTTGGTAGGTCGTCAGAAAAGAGTGCCCATTGAGTTTCGCTTCCGTAGTAGAGATGCGGGAAGGTAAATGTTTGATTCTCACTCCACGAGTCTGAGTAGATCTTGGTCAATGTCGACAGTTGAGGAGCAGTGAGACAACCAGCAGTACTAGTGTTTTTGGCGTTCTGGCCACATAGGAGGTCGTCTGGGTAGAAATTACAGCCCTGCGGGTCTGAGATGATAGTATCTTTGACGCCATCTTGGACATCGCACTGCTTCATTACCTCTTCACCGATAGCAGCGAACTTAGAAGGTGGGATGTGATAATCAGCTGTGGTTGGCAAATTGTACATTCCCACTTTGATCGTCCACGGCTGTAGGTGAGTTGTCCACCAAGCAGGGGCACCTGCAATGATACCGTCAAAGTCCTCAGGGTATCGCTCAGCTTCCTTGAGACCCTGTCTGCCTCCCGTTGAGCAACCGGCATAGTAATTGTACGAGATGTCTTTTGAGTAATATGCAGAGACAATCAGTTTGGCTGTCACTACTGACCCGTGCATAGCAAGATGTCCCCAATTCTCGATCTTGTCTGGTTGTCGGTATGCCCAAGATCCGTCTCTCGAGGATGAATTGTGGCCAGTATCTGTTGACATGGTTGCAAACCCATAGCGACTGCCTGGTCCCTGTGCAATGGTTAGCAGCAGTACTCTCATACATGCGAGCTATAGTCCTACCATGCCTTGCCAGTTGATACCTCCTGCAAACCCTCCATTACCGATTGCTAAAAATCGGCCATTCCATGATTCTGGTAGGAATAGCCCAAATCCATAAGTCGAGTTACCAATCGACTGGACTTGTACAGAAACAGCACATAGAGCTGGAAGTCCAATCGGATTTGTTGGATAGCCAGTGTCCCCCTGGGGCACCTGTAAGGTTGAATTTTCCTGGAGTGGGTATGCCCAGTTTACACTAGCATTCGCAGAGAGCACAGACTGGATGCTGGACGGCGAGCAGTTGAGAGCCTGCGTCGCTCCCAACACAACACCATAGCTAAAAACGCTCTTCCACTGCATTTTAAAACGTCTTTTCGATGTGGCAGAAAGAGATAAGGCTGCAAGATTAAATACATTGAACCAGAGATGCGCCATTCTCAAAAAAAAGTGATACCCTAACCTTCATTAATCTCTACCCCTCTAGCCCACTTTTTATTACGCGTTCTTAGCCGATCGCCCCACATTCTGAATCATGGCAACATTCGTGCTAGGATTGGTGCGATTTTTGAATGAACAGCCAGGGGCTTTCTACCTCGGGATAGATACTTGGTTGACAGCGTAAGTAGGGGCAGTGGGGCGGTGGCAAAGCTCGGGATTATGTAAGCTATATGGTTTCAATACATTATGTGCCTACCTTGAGTAGCAATCATAGCCTCGCATCGGCTCCCCATACTATCATCATAGAGCTTTTGATCCATCCGACGTTTAACCGAACAAAACTCCCTACTCGCCCCACTACCCCTACTTACGCTGTCAACCAAGTACCTCGTGGTACTGTATGTGGTCAGTGCATGCAACAGTTCACCCGATGCAACACCCCGCTTAGGATAAAAAATAAGGCTATAGAGCCACATAGAAGAGCTATTATCGTGAGAAAACTTAGCATATTAGTCTATATAGTCTAGATAATTATTCTATTTAATTGGATTTTGTATATAGTGTAGTATTATAGCTGCGTATATAGTAGTAGTAGTAGTAGTAGTAGTAGTAGTAGTAGTAGTAGTAGTAGTAGTAGTAGTAGTAGTAGTAATATAGGTAGTTAAAGTGGTGATAGCTCTATATCTTTAGGTACGTAGCTACCTACTAAAACTACTATACGCAACTATAATAATAAGCTACTAAAGAAATATAACTAGATAGGTTTAATCTATAAGATATCTAGATTAAAATACTAAAAAATCTCGCGATTACTACGTTAATGTGGAGCTGCGCAGCCTCACTTATGGTGAGTGGGCATTCTAAGCGGGGTGTTGCATCGGGTGAACTGTTGCATGCACTGACCACATACAGTAGCTTGTCACCGGTAGTTCGAACCCCACAATTGTGGGGAAGCAGTCTCCCCATCAGGACTCTACCTTCTTGTTTGCGTTTGGTGCAACTCCTCTCCAGCTATAGAAGCACCAATAGTACTTTTGTAGCGTTCTGTTGTCAAGTTAGAAAAGCCGAGGCTCGTGGCTCCTTATCGCGGGCCCACAGGATAGCTTCGATCAAATGAGAAGCCAGAGTCAGTATGTCGCAGAGTTTGCTAACCAACTCTAATTTTCATTCTACATCCAGTTAATCACTCTATAAGATGACATTGATTTTAGCAATAGAACGACAAATTTCTACCCAGTGCAAAAGATGAGGCCTAGCCCTTTCAATCGATTGCCGAAAAGTGGGATAATCATCGACGAGTACATGATTCGTATTGACTGACTCGGAACAATGCATTAGGACATATCCTCGTTTCCAAAAGCAATTTCTCTCCCAAGTAAGCACACCTCACGCACGGTAAGCGTTCAGATTGTACTAAGAACATTCAAGTATCGTGAAATCTATAAAATTTTGGTTCCCGGACCATTACTCTACTTCTGGCGGCATCTCCTTGTCTTTTCGGTGTCATTGCATCTTTCATGCTTGCCTACTCCATTGATCGCTTCAACGAGCGAGGTTACCATATTAGCACATCTATGATACTAGCAATTTACCGGATTTGCAATCTCTGATGGGACACCCAATAAGCCCGCTCGCTACTTGGCTTCCTTTCTTTATTGTGCAGGAGCTTTTGCCGCCCATGCTGCTGTCTATTCCCAGGATGCAGGTGCACTGAATCAACCCCAGAGAAGCGCGCATGCGCAAGGGAGATCATCAATCACTTTTCACAGCTGGGTGATATCTAGAGCCCGTATCATTTTTCTGTTTAAAGATTGACCGCGGTATGCTATGGCTAGCTTGCTTATGATGGCACTTTCGTTGCCTAATATTGTAGCTTGACTGCTTATGAAATACGTACTTAAGAAAGAGAATAAGAAACTGCTAGCAGAGGCACCTGTCATTGTCGATATATGGAAGCGCAATAAACCAAGTCTGGAAAGTGAGCTATGAGCTGAAAGTGAACCTACAATTGATTTAGATCTAGACTAGCATAATTACCCACTGCGCCCGTCCCCTGAAGATAGATATATGCTTAGTGCACGTGGCAAGAGTTTGCTAGTATAATAGCAGTATGGCTAAATAGCCACTACACGTTAGTAGAATTGAGCCAGGTTCTCACGCTTGAAGGAGCGTTATAGGACTGCAGATTGATGTCCTACATTAATCCATATGAAGCTGAAGGACTGGCCAGCCTGGAAGCTACATAGCACCTCGCGAGCCCAACTGGCTACCGTGCCTTGCTTCGAGTAACATAACAGATTGAGTTCATTATATAAAGATGTAGTACGGTACTATACTCTTAGACTTTGGCCAAGATGAAAAATCTTACACAATTACTTGGTTCTTCTGTGTATGCTAGATGGAAAAGCAAAGGAGGTACGGTAGGATACTATCTCCTATAGCACTTGACGTTGAAAGATGACTATTTGTGTAGAGTGCTATGAATATTACCGAGGCTATGTTAACTCTAACCCTAAGCCCAATCGCTCCAATGGTTATTGTCTCTATAAGAGTACTCATTACTAAATACATTCGCATTCTGCGGACCTTCCACCTCGAGAAGGTAGCCCAAGGCACACCTATCAAAGGAGACTTTTGGTTGCAATGAGTAGAAATGGTCGTAAGTTTTGTCCATGGCGTCTCCTAGTGTATTGACATTGCCTTGGGGATGCAAGGTTTTCCACGGTTTCATACATACCTTACCCTTGCATGACTTGAGCACCATGGTGAGCGCATCAAGTCGCGTTTGCAAAGCATCGATCTTGAAATTTGCGATTGAGCTATTTGATCCCCATAGATTGTGCATCTGGTGAAGATCGGTCTGGTCACAGTCAGCATCAGGCACAGCATCCAGGGGTAGACACGTGATGACTAACCTTCATGTCATAGAGCTCATGTTCATTAGTGCACCATACTGTGTACGATATGTCATACTCAGGCGATACTACGCGTAGACTCTTATACGTATTATTTGGAAATTTAGCATTACCGCTGTAAAGTCCCTCGCCAAGGCTTGGACCCCAGAATTCCACATTGACATGCTCGGTTTTGGCGTCTTCAATGTCAGAAACAGCGATAGGCATGGGTGTTCCATCAAACTGCTTTTGCAGTGGAATTTCGGCGAGTTTGAGTATTGTAGGCGCAATATCGGTGTGGGTAGTTGGGAGTTCAATAGTATGGCCTTTAGGCACACCCGGTCCACGAATGAACATAGGCACAGTGATGTCTTCTTCATATGCTGTGCATTTGCCTGGGCTAAGACGGTGTTGACCAATATGGAAGCCATTGTCTGCAGTGTAGAAGATGAACGTATTTTCCAAGACGTTCATCGCTTCGAGTTTGTTCATCACTGCCTCGATAAGGTCATCAACAGATGCGAGCGCTTCAAGGCGAAGCCGATAGAATTCGTCGTTATATGCAAGAACGGTTTCGTTTAGTCGTGGTAAGCCTTTCACGTAACTCGCACCACTTGCCTGCCTCTAAATTTCAGTGGTAGTTGTTATTGATTTCGTTACTGCTTACTATTTCAGGGTTGAAATTTGGTGTGCGTGGCACCTTGACCCCACGATACAGATCCTTGTATCGCTCTGCAGGCACCGGTGGGCCAAAGACAGCCTTGCCATCCTCAAAGGTGGTTTCCGAGTGAGGAGCGATAGGCATAACTCCAAGAAAAAACGGTGCATTTGATTTTGCAGCCTCTTCAAGGAAACCAATAGATTTATCAGTAATAAGGTCTGTGCTGTATTGCCCAGGATAATTCTTTGGAGGTTCTCTGTTACGCTGCATTGTCGCATTGTTGTAAATGTATGTCCCTGGGTCGATTAAGACTGGAAGGGGTTAATGTAAAATTATAAGTAAAAAGAGAGCTCAAACGCACAATCAGATCCATTCCAAGCGTTTGGAAATGGTTTATTGTAATTTGACACAGAATGAGAGTTCATCAGCTTCCCAGTATAGTAGGTATTGTACCCTGCTTCCTGGAGCCAAACAGGCAGGTATTTATCATTGAATCCTTGTTCTATGAACTTCGGATAGCCACCTAGATTGACGATTAAACACATGAAAACAGTGAAGGGGTCAACTTACCAAAAGGTGGGGAGACATCTGTAACATTGGTGTTATGTCCCGCCATCCCCGTCCATAACGAAACTCGTGAAGGACAACATATAGACATTGTTACGAAGTGGTTTCTGTATGTGATCCCCTGGGAAGAAAAGTGCTTTCGGATCGCGGGTTGGTAATCCAAGGAATCCATTTTCAGGTCTTGGTCATCTGTCATAATGAAGACAAAGTTCGGCCTCTTTCCTGGTTGCAGCAGGTTTGGCGCGTTTAATGAACCGCTAGTAGTAGTAGAAGTAAGGCCTTGGCATAACAAGCATTGAGGATCTCGAGAATTGGACAGCGCACCATAAAAGAGTAGACTACCTGCAAGCAGTAGAGAAACAAGATAAAACTCCATCCTTAGTGGGCGACAATGATAGCGAGAAGCTTGTGAAAACACGGTTAATCGTCAAGGCGCTTTTTCCTTTAAGTATTGTACGAGAACTAGTTCATGACGTGATTTTAGCGCATATAAGCAAATACAGACCCACAAAGGTAAAGTTGTGTTACCACTATCTCTTCAGAGAATCAGCATCAAGAGCGATGAGAGTGATTTTTTGATGAATTTTGAAGTGGTGCCGGTATATCTCAATTAATGTGGCCCATTGTGGTGAGCTAGCCCGCTTGGTTTAGGAGTTTCACCGATCGACACCGAGTCACACTTCAGTTAGAGTATGGACGGAGTAATCTTTAGTAGTTCACTAGGCAAAGCTTAGATATAGATATATAGCGCTTTCTACGAGAAATCGAATCCAATATACCCGCTCGTTGCCGTTTCGTGGATGATCTTGTAAGAATTCGGCACTACACCAAGGTAGATCAACGGCTCCCTGGTCTTCCCTGGAATGTTGGTGCCCATGTACCACTACCGTAACATTAGTTCATTTCTATTTCAGCGTGCATTATCTCTGCACAATTTACAGGATCTACGCTCGCTAGTAAGGAGGCGTTCGCAAGCTTCCATATTAGCTCCTTCCATTCATCTCCACTTCTCTCCTGTGCTTGAATCTAATGTAGCGAATTCCGCTCCATGTAGTTGATCACTTGTAAGATCCAGTTCCCCTGAATTTCAGCGCATGTTGGTCCATTACACAAGGCAGTTGGGGCTTGCAGAACATATGTAAAGAACATGTTAGGGAAGCCTGCCACTTCCATACCGAGATACGTCTTCGTGCCTTCTTTCCAATGCTCACTCAAGCTTTCGACCGAAGAGCCACGGATTTCAATCTGTTTTAAACCTCCCGCGATTGCGTCACATCCCGTCGCACTGATGATGTAGTCAAACTCCTACTCACTATCAATGGTTTTGATTCCGTTTTCAGTGATTTCCTGGATCGGTGTACCTTTGTCACTGATGTCGACCAAAGAGACGTTCGGCCTGTTGTACATCTCAAAATATTTATTCTCTAGCGAGATGCGTTTACATCCAAAGGCGGACGGTTGTTCTATAGGTGCAAGAATGTCTGCAACCTTGGATTCATTGATCTTACCTTTTGTCTTGTCACGCCAGAAGTTTTATACTTCACGGTTAGCTTCTTGGGTGAAAAGCATATCACTATTTGTCGCAAGCCAGAACTTGAAGTCCCTTTGTTTCCATAATTTCTCATATATTCTTAGTCGTTCTGGTGTATCATCAAAGGTTGAGCGTAGAAGGAAATTGAAAGAGAAACCCGAGAAGCTAACTGGCTGTTCATCAAAGAGCTTCGGATAATCGGGCTTGGGAATAGCCTGCTTGGGAGGGGGCTCGTAGTTCACTTGTCCCATTGGCAACGACATATTCAGCGTCCGTTGGAACACAATAGGATGGCCCGTGACCTTGCTTAGTTCTTGGGCCAATTGGATGCCAGTTGATCCAGTGCCGACAACATCCACCCTTTTGTGCCGAAAGTCGGAGTCTTATGAGCCCAGTTCGATTGGTGTAAGAGGGCCCCTAACCAGTGTTTAGTAGGCTTTATAGAGACAGCTACGAATTCTAGCCTTTGAAAGACTCAATTCTTTTCCAATTGGGAACATACTGTTTCGCTGCAAAGCCGGTGTTCAGCAGTAAGAACTTCACCTTGTAAGTCTCTCCGGTGTTTAACTTCACAGTCCATTTCGCATCATTTTCACTCCAAACTGTTGAGGACACAAAGCTATTGAACTCCGTATCCTTCCTCAGGTCCCATACCTTGGCCACGTGTTGGAAATATCTGCGGAGCTACTTGCTGGCCGAAAAACGTTGCTTCCATATCGATTCTTTCCACAATGCTGGATCGGAAAATTCATATTGGGGAATGCCACTGTCGACGCGTGTATCAGGATACGGGTTCCAGTACTAGATACCTCTGTAATTGGATCTGTATTCCACAAGCTTGACACTGTAGCTAGCGTCGCGGAGCATCTTAAGCTGTTACACACCACCGAATCCTGCACCAATGATCAAAGAGTGGTACTCTTTGGAAGGAGCGTCATGGGTGATTTTAGACGAATCCATGTTGTTTTGCATCGCTTCACGATATATTAGTTGAAACGGATGATAAGGAATAAAGAGGATTTTATGGCCTTTTCTCTCCAGAGGAATACAATGAAAGACCCCGTTGATTAAGAAGGAAATGATGAACTTATCCTCAGAAAGTGGGTGCCTTAGTTACCTCAGCTTATCGGGTACCACTTGATATGCATGGCCCGTCACACGCGCAAAATGCATAGTAATAGTATAGGCCTATTGATAATCGTTACTTGAAGTGTGATCCGGGTTAAATGCTAGTGATAAGTATCGGTCGAAGAAGTATGGATGATATGTATCTGTTTGCGTCAGTCAGTTGTGTGGCTGACAGCTACTTATTGAAGTGACGGAACTATATATTCTACCCACATGGAGTAGTGTGTGGCTACACTAACTTCCACAATATTATATGGCGGCTCGAGCGGATATTCGATGTGGGGACCTCGCTTCTGTCCTGCGATCCTGCAGACAAGGGCATATCGACACGCGTCAGATGTTGGCACGCCTAATCCCGCTCCTACAGCAGAAAAACGACACGACGCATTCACCTCAGCCTAGATTTCTTAGAGCGCTGTTCTACTATCAAAGTAACTAGTGTCACGCGGCTATCCGCTACCCTTCTCTTACAACAGCATCTAAGTACAGCGTACGACACGACCTAGCCACCGTACTCTCGTCGTAGAGTACAAGGCTGCTACACGGAGCTTATCACATCTGCTTTCTATCGCGCGCCCACTACATTCCTACACGAACCGATGCGTCTTCTAGAGTATAGAGAAGATGGTAGCCTTACGATTACCAGTTTCGATGACGACAAGATACCGCCTTATGCGATACTCTCACATACCTGGGGGGCGGACACAGAGGAGGTGACTTTCAGCGACATTGTAAAAGCTGATGGCGAGCATAAGCCTGGCTATGAGAAGATTCGCTTCTGCGGAAAGCAGGCACGGAAAGATGAGTTGCAGTACTTCTGGGTTGACACATGCTGCATCGACAAGACAGACTACCATGAGCTCTCTACAGCGATTAGGTCTATGTTCCGTTGGTACCAAAACGCAACTAAGTGCTACGTATACCTACCTGATGTGTTGGCAAATGAGCAAAGATCAGATGAGATGTTTGCCCAGCCCTGGGAGCCTGCTTTTAGGTCAAGTCGTTGGTTCACACGTGGGTGGACGCTTCAAGAGCTTCTTGCACCGAGCAAAGTAGAGTTTTTCACTCGAGAGGGGGAGCTACTTGGCGATAAGACGTCGCTAACGCCGTTGATTAGCAAGATTACTGGCATTCCACCCCAAGTGCTCCAAGGCACACTTGCCCAGTTCGATATCGAAGAGCGTCTGCGTTGGAGAGGTCACAGAAAGACTAAACTAGAAGAAGATATGGCATACTCGTTGTCGGGTATCTGTGACGTAGATATCGCACCTTTGTATGGCGAGGGCGAAAAGGGAGCGTTCAGACGGCTGCATGATGAGATACGAAAATTGAAGGACTGCGTCCGCGACTTGCGTTCTAGTGACCCACATGACGACAAGAAACGCATCGAGGATACAAAGGGCGGACTGCTAGCAGACTCCTACCGTTGGGTTCTCAATAACACCATTTTCCAGCAATGGCAACAGCAGCGGCACACCCAAAGCCCTCACTCTCAGCTGCTATGGATAAAGGGAGATCCTGGTAAAGGAAAGACAATGTTGCTCTGCGGCATCATCAACGAACTGCAGCTGACATTCACTCCCCAAAGCACTCTTCTAGCGTATTTCTTTTGCCAAGCTGCCGACCCACGCATTAATAGTGCTACAGCTGTGCTGCGAGGCCTATTATACATGCTCGTTACTCAACAACCATCTCTTATGTCGCACGTTCTCAGGAAGTATGAAACTGCTGGCAAGGCCTCCTTTGAAGACGCAAATGCTTGGGTAGTTTTGTCAGAGATGCTCGAAGACACACTTCGTGACCCGCACCTGCGTCCAACGTATCTAATCATCGATGCGCTTGACGAGTGCATCGCCGCTCGACCCAACCTCCTAGAGTTTATCGCCAGGCATTCATCTATCTCTCCTCGGGTTAAATGGATAGTTTCGAGCCGTAACTGGCCAGAAATTGAAGAGAAGCTGGAGCAGCAAATAGGACACCAAGCGACACTGAGTCTTGAGCTAAATGCGAATTCGGTTTCAGCGGCAGTTGACGTCTTTATACAACGTAAGGTGGATCAACTGGCACAGGAAAAGCAGTACAAAGCAGAAATTCGAGACGCTGTACTGCAGCACTTGAGGTCAAACGCCGGGGATACCTTCCTCTGGGTGGCGTTGGTCTTCCAGGATCTAAGGAAGACACCAAAGTGGAACGTGCTAAAGAAGCTGGCTTCAGTATTCCCGCCTACACTGGATTCTTTGTATGGGCGAATGATGGACCAGATAAGCGAGTCACCCTCCGCCGAGATCTGCCAACATGTACTGGCTTCGGTTGCGCTCCTGTATCGACCTGTCACGATCTCTGAATTGTTTGCACTAGTGGAGCAGCTTGAAGACATAGACGACCTAGAGTCTAGGCAGCAGATTGTAGGTTACTGCGGATCTTTTCTCACATTGCGAGAGGATACAGTCTACTTTGTGCATCAGTCCGCAAAGGACTTTCTCTTCGCCAAGGCGTTCAATAGCGAAATCTTTGTAGAGACGATTGAAGACGTCCATGAGAACATATTTTCTAGGTCGTTGTCCATTCTAGAGAGGACATTGAGCAAGGATATGTACAATTTGGAAACGCCAGGATATCCTATCGAGGACGTCAAGACAAATGACCCAGATCCGCTTGCAGAGTCGCGATACTCATGCGTCTACTGGATTGACCATCTCTATGACTCGAAGCTGGAAGCTTTACAAGTTGCAGACCGGGTCGGCGAGTTTCTAAAAGAGAAGTACCTCTACTGGCTAGAAGGACTTAGTCTATGCAAAGGTGTAGGGAGAGGCGTCGTGTCGATGACAAAACTGTGGTCTTTAGTGCAGGTAGGTCATTCAGATCGTGCGTTGATGTGACTATACTGATGTTAGTAGGGAATGTGCAATCAAGAAGAACTCGGTCGGATTGTTGAAGACGCGCGCAGATTCATCATGTACCATAAGGGAGCGATTGAGAGTTACCCTCTTCAGACTTATGCATCCGCAATCCTCTTCAGCCCAACGGGCAGTTTGATCAGGCAATGTTTTGAGCACGAAAAGCCAGACGCGATTAAAATCAGGCCAGTACTAAGCGAGGGATGGAGCGCGTGTCTGCAAACGCTTGAGGACCATGGCAGTGACGTTACCTCCGTGGCCTTCTCGCACGACTCAACACGACTAGCATCAGGATCTGAAGATAGGACTGTGAAGGTGTGGGACGTGAGCAGTGGCGAGTGCCTGCAGACGTTTGAGGGTCATGAGGATTATGTTACCTCAATAACGTTCTCGCATGACTCAACACGGCTAGCGTCAGCATCAGAAGACAGTACTATCAAGTTGTGGGATACAAGAAATAGCGGCCTATGCCTACAGACGCTAGAGGGCCACAGTGATTGGGTGAACTCCGTGGCCTTCTCGCACGACTCAAAACGACTAGCATCAGCGTCGGGTGATAGAACTATTAAGTTGTGGGACACGAGTACTGGCACGTGTCTAAAAACACTTAGGGGTCATAGTGGTAACATTAGGTCCGTGGCTTTCTCGCACGACTCAAGACGACTCGCGTCAGCATCCTTTGATACCACTGTTAGGATATGGGATGCAAGTAGCGGCACGTGTTTGAAGACACTCAACGGCCATCGCCTTACTGTCAGATCTATAGCCTTCTCTCATGACTCGTCGCTACTAGTTTCCGGGTCAGAAGACCACACGATTAAGGTGTGGAACACAAGCAGTGGTACATGTATGGAGACCCTCAAGGGACACAGCGATTGGGCAAACTCCGTGGCCTTCTCACACGACTCAACGCGCATAGTATCAGCGTCTGGCGATGGGACTGTCAAGGTATGGGATCCAAAGGGGACGTGTCTACAGACATTCGAGGGCCATAGTAGTACTGTTAAGTCCATCGCCATCTCGCACGACTCAAAGTGGCTGGCATCGGCCTCTGGCGACAACACCGTCAAAGTATGGGATGCGAACAACACGGGTCTGCAGAAACTCGAGGGCCACAGCGGCACTGTGAGAGCCGTGGCTTTCTCACGTGATGAGGCGTGGCTAGCTTCAGCATCCAGTGATAGCACTATCAAAATATGGGATACGGACAGTGGCGCATGTCTGCACACTCTGGAGGGCCATGGTAGTACCGTCACTTCTGTGGCCTTCTCCTATGACTCAAACACCCGACTGGCGTCGTCGTCTAGCGACCAGACCATAAAGTTGTGGGACGTCAGCAGCAGCACATGTCTGGAGACGATCACCGTTGGCAATACCATCTTCGATCTTTCCTTTGATGCCACTGGTGCTCAACTAGTTACTGAAACAGGTACCATCAACATTCAGACCTTAGAGACGTCTTCGCCCAGCATGATGGGTTTCCCAGGTCCGGCGCGTCGCTTGACAGATCTGGGGACTGGCTTTAGTTCAGACGGCATATGGATACAGCATGATGGGAGAAACATGCTATGGGTGCCATCGGAGTACCGACCGTCATGTTCGGCTGTTTGCAGGACTATGGTTGGTATCGGTGTTGGCTCCGGCAGAGTCTGGATTTGCAGTATAGATCTATAGATGAATTTTGTTCATCAGGCGTTCAATATAGTGGCTATAATCTTGTTACAAACACACACTCTTCGATCCTACCAGGATGGGCTTTTACCATTCACGTCTCGATGCTTTCCTTGGCAATAAGACACAAGTAACAATGAGTGGCATAGATGTGTCTCTAGCCGTATGAGTGTGAGATGAAGAAACATAACACACTGTTATATATGCTTGCAGAAACCAGCTAGCATTCACTGCAGCTGTCTTAGGTGCTTCCTCTATAGGTACGAAAGTAGCGCCGAATCCGTCACAGTAGTACAGCGAGATATCCAAGCACGGCCACTGTAACTACCCTGCGCCCGGATGGATGATAGAGATATAGAGGCCACTTATTTTCTCTTGCTTTTGCTATTGATATGTTCTCCTCAGAAGCGTATATAAGAGGCCTTGAAATGCCATCTTCGAGAAGGAAGCATCGGAAGAAAAAAATATGACATCTACAATGGCAAAGAAGAACGAACTAAAGTCGGAGTATGCCTCTGATAGACGTTTAATATTTCACCTATCATAGGGCCACTGTGGTTGATATTCATGAGTGACAGTGTGCGTAGCCGCCAACATGTTCATGTCCTTCACTGCTTCTCCTAGCCCTAGCTACGTTCTTTTTGGAAGTACTTGCAGCCTCTTTTTTTGGAGCCCCGCCCAGGAAATTGCATAGGCAGCAACCGCCTCAGCGATGCCCATATTATGCAGCACAAAGGCGTTCTTTTTGAGGTTGTTAATAGTATCGAACGCTTTGTGGTGACAGGAGTCCTACAGAATATCAGCCTCTCCACCAAACTTAAAATCTTCTTCAGCAGTATTTTTTTTTGCGCCAGTGAAGGTCCCACCAACTGGAAGCCCCTCGTCAAGAAAAGCCTTATAAATCAAAGCGGCCGTTAAATTGAGCTGTGGTATAATTCTGGCCCGCAGCCTGGAAGTTTTTTTTTTTGAAAAAAAAGGCTTTTATTCCAGCTGAACCAGAGCGACTCGCAGTGCCAAAAGTCTTACCGTCGCCGTCGAAGATAGCATTGACGTAGTTGGGTGAAACAACCCAGATATAACATGAAAGGATGAGAGTTTGATGCGATTTTGGTCCTGTTTAGGGCAGTCAACATACCATATCAAAGTTCAAATAAGCACGAATCGTCGCTTTCTCTGCTACGGAAAGTATTTGGAGAAATTTCGACAAACCCGGATGCTGGTATAGTTCTTCGGCAGTCCAGAACGCAAAGATTACAGCATTGTTGATTGTAAATCTTGAAAGTGCTCTTGCGACTTCAAAGAGAGCAGCGAGGCCACTGCCGTCGTCGTTGATACCCGAACCAGCAATAACAAAATCGGTATGAGCACCGAGAATGAGCTTGTTGTTTCGGTCGCAAAGACATTATATGTGCTAACATTGCGAATGTCTATAAAATCTCAACAAAATATTATTTTGTTCGCAAGTCGATAATAGGACAAGAGTTTGAATAAATTAAGGGCATTGAAAAATTGTTCCGCAATGTGCTGGACTGTGCTCCGCAATGTCGTGCTGGTCTTGTCCTTCACCACATCTACGGATCAATCTGCCAATTGACTAGATCATTTCCAATTCAAGTCAGCACTTACCTGTCAACATATCAAAACTGGCAATGACATTCTCCCTGCACCTGAGAGCTGCAACAATAGGTTCAAAAACACTCTTGATAATATTGAGCGTGGGGATGTAAGGACCATGAAATCGTGTGAGTGTGGGTGGGTGGGAGGGGGGAAGAAGCGTTTCCTTCATAGGGCCCTCATCATTGATATTGTACAAGATAGTTCCGGAGTCGCCTACAGAGCCAGCAAGTGCTAATTTGATTCCATAATTGCAAGTTTCACGGGCAGTGATGGCGATTTTTCCAGCTAGGTCTGCTCGATAGTCAGTCTAAATTCTTGGAATTTAATAACAAGTCAGATATTACACTATAGACTCGAAAACCTAACTTGTTACATCCACCATCAACAATGATCAATGGTGCAGTTACTTTTGTGCTCGGAGAAAATTCGAAGAGACAGTATAAGGACTTTCGTATTTCACTGCTGTCAATTGGGAAAGCATTGACAGCCTCAGCGAATTGAGCAATGGCCCAGACGAACTGCATTGAGACGTCTTGATAGTTTTTCAGAGCTTCGAGTCTTTCTTTCATTCACCTAATTGTCGCTTCCTGTCCAGGAAAAGAAGCCATTCGATTCCTTTCGTTGGTAGCATAAGCGAAGGATTGGAATTGTTGAGAACCTGCCCATAAGTTATCGTGCGAGATGTCTCCTTTTAGAGGTTCCCTATGCGTTTATTAGCGAATATTTTTCTTGGTAATTTAGCTTTTCTAATGAATGCCCTTTAAGGGTGCCCAGGCTAGTGGAGAGCACTGGAACCGAAGCGAGTGGTGCCGACGGCATCATTGCGGCGGGACTATATTCTGAGCATGGCTTTAGACTAAAATCAATTTTCCGATGAATCTGCTAAGAAGTAGCAGCCTTTTGTTAGTATTGAAGATTCCGGGGGTTGAGATAGTTGGAGAAGGCAGCTGTGAAATATATAGGGAGTAGGGAGAGGGTTGTCGGCCGAAGATAGTTAAAAACTTGTATGCGAAGCTAGTATACTATGAAAACGACTGTTTCTTCGGATATAAGTAATTTTTGGGTAAATTATGAGGAAGCTATTGCTGATAATGATGTTGACCATCTTATTATCTTATACTAAGCTGAGCGGTGAATTAACTGCGTGTAGCGGTCAAAGTGCAGCTCAAGTTCCGGTACACTCGGAAGATATGGCAGATTCACGACATGTATGCTCGTGGCAGCTATATTCAGGTGTTACTGAAGCCATTGGTGCAAAGCTATTAATATAGCGTATACAGCATTAATATAAAAGCCTTTTATCTTGTGTGTACCTTAAATTTTCAGTAGCGCGCTGCTAAGAGCATGCTCCTGCAAGATCAGTTTATCAAAAATGTATCTAACTGATAACACTAGGACCGAGTCGGTAGGATGACAAGACGCTTCCCTGATTATGTTGATATGAGCCATTGTTAGCTCACTCCCATAGTCGAGATTGGCAGTTCAGAAATGGTGTATTGAATATGCGACTTGCTCGCTTGTTGGTCAACAATGAAAGGAATGAGAAGATGGGGATAAGCAATCGAATAAGTCCGATCGTCCCTGCTACGGCAGTAGACTGCCCTGACGTACTGCCGTCGCATTTTCATTACAACTTCCTAGGCTGAACGGCACATGTAGCTGGTGGATAAGTGAATAAAGCATTTTGCTCTCTCGCTGCATTGACAGCCTGCTGTTAGCAGCGTTCTATTGGATTGTGGTGTGATTCCGATGCTGTACGTTGAAGTCGCGAGACAAGAAGATCAATGACCGCGGCCACTCGCATGTATCGAGATCGAAGGAGTCGTTGGTTTCATAATAAGTTGGAGACTTTGTATCGCGGCCTGGTTACAGGATGGCGCCTTTTGTGTTCTGGAGAAGCAAGATGAGGTTATACGGCCATCACTATGGTGAAATAGGAGCGCGATGCAGAGTACAAGATAAGCTACTGAAGGCTGTGGCGCATGATTTGCCTTGCATCAGCGCACCGATCCATTTGAGTGCGCTCAGGTCTCCCAACACTGAAATGCTCCCTCAGTCAGGGATGCGTGCTACTGCATCCTTATGAAGAAGGCTTCAGAAACATTCCACAACATGCACTATAATTCTATATGCACTTGGAGTAAGTAAGTTAAGGCGGGTAAGCGTTGAGACCCCTACCTACAAGTTAGGTATGTAGTCGCAACGAGTGCGTCGTCGAGGGCAAGAGCTTGAGGGTCCCCTTTTTTCTCATGCCTACCGTAAATTGGTTTAATAATATTATCATTTAGATCATGCTTATTAGAGACTGTCGCTTAGGGACTGTTGAAGAAATCTACCTGCTACTAACATCTTGAATCACCTCGATCGCTTGTTGTAAAACCTTTTTCGTATCTTCGTCTACCACAACCTTCTGCACCTCCTCTAGCCGCTCTACCCAAAGCCTCCATCTCCCTTCGTTGTAACCATTCCATTCTTCGCCAACAACATCGCTGCCCTGTTCTGCAGCGCGACCATTGTATGTTTTCCCCTCCTTACAAAACGCGTACATATTTTCACCCGCATAGATGAACCATGCGGCAGCTGCTTTGCACCCCTCGTCTCCACTTTTACTGTAAATCTCGCTTGATGCTGAGTTCTCTAACACTGAACGCAGCGTCCAGATTGCGTATATGGAAAGATCCACCAGATCAGCAGCTGTAAGGCGAGCGGCGAATGCATTCATATTGAACAATTCTGCATGTTGCTCTAGATAAAGTTAGCCATCTAATTTTTGTTGCATGTGTTGAAGCTAAAAAAAAGCTAGCAAAGTAGGGCTGAATACCATTATCCCACGACTCTCGAATAACCGGCCCCAGCAACGGAAGTTGCTTCCACGTAACTTTCTCGCCCCAGATTTTAAACTCAGCGGGCTCTTTTAGGTCAGCCACGGCTGCGATGACTTCTACCACTCTATCAAGCTGATGGACTGGCGTCTTCGATGCGTATCCAACCACTTGATTCCAGATATCCCATAAAGCAGCCTCGCCAGCCTCTGGATCAGCAGCAGCAAATGAGGAAATAGCAGGCGCAACAAGGGAATTCGCAGCTAAAGCGGCCGGTATAGAAGCATCCGTAACTTGTAGGATGGTCGGTGAGGGGCGCGGTACATTTCGGACAATTCCTCCACGGCCATCACCTCTACGGCTACGATTTCCTCGCATTAGGGAGTCTACTTCTTGTACGATGTGCTCAACGGTCTAGGCAACGTGCTCTGCAGGTAGTCTTAGCTTAAGCATAGAAAAAGGTTAAAGGGATTCTTGGATTTTACCTTAGGGGTTCTGAATGTGATGAGATGCCTGTGGTAATGCTCTATCTACTGCTCTTACGATGGCAGTTAGATTGGTGGAACTAACAACTTTTATATACAAGGCAGCAAGGCTGTAGGTAACGCATGCTGACTACTACGCTGCGCTAAAACCCCAGCTAGCGTGCAATCAGTGCTGTCGCAACATGACTATTGCCAAAGCTTGTCCTACGTAGGCCCGTGCTGTATTCTAACTGGTGAACACATCACTAAAATCTTACGTACGCTTGAATTAGCGTATTACCTAACAGTCCCAAGCTAATAAACTCAAAACTGGCCAAGCAATCTTCGTCAGCATTTAAAGACAACAACCCAGGAGTTTTCTTACTAAAATTGCCTAGCTTTTTACAGAGGTGCCTTTCAAAAGTTCTGTCTGACGCTAATTTCGGCGCTTCGGCGTAACTCTTCTTAGCA